CGCCTGTCCTTGAGCATGTGCGGAGAGAACACCAGTCCGATGACTACGAGAACAGAAGGCCCAATTGCAGACTGAAGAGCTCTGACCCCGAGCCCCACTCAATTCACGACCCGGAACGGTCCCAGGGACATTGCAGGCCTTCTCATCTTCTTCCTCATCGTAATCTTCGTAATCTTCTGTTTCCACGTGAGATCCACGCGAGGCTCCACGACTTGAGGACAAGCAGTAGCGACCGTCCTCGTCACCATCTTCGTCGTCATCTTCCTCTCCTACGGCAACTGGTTGAACGCGAGAAGAATCAAGGCGGCGTCGGCGCGGATAACTAGAACTGGAGTTTTGCCGCCTAGAAGTGGCCAGATCACCTGCATGAAAAGTAGAGGCCGATGTACGTTGACAAATTCCAAGAGAACTTGAAAATCGGCAGCCAGAGCTACCACCTGTGCTACAAGATCTCGAGGGGCCAATGCCTGGGTTTGAAAGATTGCTGCGACTGCGAGAGGTAGTGTTAGCTGCATCTAAAAAGAACACAAAAGCATCAGTAAATAGAAAAGTAAAAAAAAAAGAACGGACTCGGTATGGCAGAACGGCATTTTGCATACATAAACTATATAGTATTACAATTTTTATTGTTTAAATTGTCGCCCAACTGCTTTATGTTTACATCTCATTAAAAAAATATTGTGGCCTAGTTTCTGCTATTGGCCTCATTTTTCAGAATAAGATCTTGCAAAGCGACTGTTCAGCACAAAAAGTGTTCGTAATATGATCAGATTGCATATCCTGGGAAAATAGTGAGTTGAAAATTAATTTATACCACAACTAAGCTGCACACTAGAGAATAAAAAATCAGCAAAGAAGTGAAAGTAGAAAAATGTTTAGATAGATATTACGACTAATACATAGGCCATGAAAAACTATGTTCTATCGAAGCTTGAGCATAAAGTGCAGCATAAGCTATCGAAATAGTTCGATCTCGTTTTCATTATTTAGTCGTGTTATCAGAGCGACCTAGATTAACGTATCTTGTCAGGAGTACTCTGTCTTAGTAGAAGCCATAATTTACATAGTGAGCTATGCCAGTCATAGCAACGAGAATTGATTCAAAACGACAGTTCTTGCCACTATGAATAGCAAAGTTTAATAATGACACCAGCGAAACGTGTGGGAATGTATTAAGTCCACGATTTTACAATGGAAACTATCATGACTACTATAACAGAGGAATAAATACAAGGTGCTTTATATGACTGCTCTGATAATACGACCAAGTAACAAAAATGAGATCAACCACTTCTATAAAGCGAAGGCAGAATGCAATCAAAATAGAGGCCACATCGTTTTGATCTTTATTCCTTCGACTGAAATGAGCTATAGATAAAGGATTTGGGAATAGTCTACAAAAAGCATAAATTGAATGCCAACCTTTCTCTTCACGAAAAAATTCTTTATATGAAGAGGGACTGGGTTTTGAAGAATGCCTAAGTAGATTGATACAGGCATCGCCTTCATTTCGTTTGAAAAGGCGGGTGGAAGGGATTCGTAGATTGACCTCACCGGATGACGAAGGAGGGTTACCGTGGGCTTATGTCTATTGGATTGTGCGAAGTAGACCGTGTTGAGCTTACGTAAGACATCGTCAGAGCCAGAAACCATTATTCACGAATAATCACCAAAAAACCAAACCAAGAAAGGTTTAGGAAAATAAGTAAGAACTATCTCTGGCTGCTAAATAGAATGAGGGAGA